TGCCCTGACCCCCACCTGCTATTCCCCACCCCCCTTCCAGGAAACTAGGTTAAGCAAGCCCATGCATAATAACTGCCCTATAAGGTAAAAACGGAGACTCCTGTCCCCACAGGTAACAGTCAGCACATTCCACAGCCCTGAGAATAGCACCTACCAATAAGAAACTTCCAGGGCTGCATCTTACACATCCAATCAGTTTAAAATTATGTTGGCGCGCGGGCTCCTTGAACCAACCAAAATGTATCTTCAGTATCTGCCCCCTTTGTCTGAAACCTATAAAACGCTCCACTCTCCCTTACTCTGGGCTCTCAGCACGGATCCATTGAGTTGGTGAGGTCTGAGAGCCCGAGCTTAAGCCCGAATAAACCATAAACCTTTGCTTTTGCATTTTGGTGTGTTGGGTCCTCGGTGGTCTTTTTGGCATCCAGTGGATGAGGTACAACACTTCCTCAGTATTGTGGGTGCTGGAATTACTGCCATGTACCCCCAGATCCAGATTTGTTTGTTTTTCTGGGTCGGGGTCATGCTAGAACCTGTGTAGTGAGGATTTGTTTTGTTCTGTTTTTTGTCTTGCTGTGTAGCTCTGAATGGCCTGGATGTCACTATGTAGACCAGGCTGGCCTGGAATTTACAGAGATCTACCTGCCTCTGCCTCTCAAATGCTGATTAAAGGCATGTGCTGATACTAACGATGATCTTGATCTGATCTTTCTGCCTCCACCTCGGAGTATACGACCATACCTGGCAATGTGTTGTTTTGGAGTTGTTTTTGTTTGATTTGGGGTTTTTTTTGGCGGGGGGTTAGTTGGTTGAGATGGGGTTTCTAAAAAGTTACTGAGCCAGGCATGATGGTGTGAACCTATAAACCCAGGCTGAGACAGGAAGATCAAAAGTTTGAGACCTGTCTAGGCTACATGGTGAGTTGGAGACCAGCCTGGGCAGCACAGCTAGGAACTAGCTCTAAGTAAAAATCTATTTTTAATTTTTATTTCTCTATTCATTTATTTATATGAGTGTTTTGCCTATATGTAAATGCATCCATGTCATGCAGTGCCCATGGAGACTAGAAGAGAGTATGGGATCCCCTCAACTGTAGTTACAGAGGGTTATTAGCCATTATGTGGGTGTCGGGAACAGAACTTGGGTCGTTTGCAAGAGCAGCCAGTGCTCTTAACCACTGAGCCTTTTAAGAGTCTGTAAAATTCCCTAAATTGACCACTCAGACACTGAGTCTCAGTAAAAAGGAGTGCTTTATTGGAACCAAATGGTTGGGGATGCAGACAGTCTCAGGAGCTGTGCTGAGACCCCAAACAGTGAGAATGCAAGGCTTTTAAGCAGAAAACCACAAAGCAGGGGCTGTCCATAGAAACTATACACAGAATAACCAGGAAAGGATTGGAACAATCGAGGGCTGATTTCCAGAGACTTTACTTATACAGCCATTGGCTGTCTTACCTGGGGCAGAACGTTCTTTCTTTTCTGCCCCAGATTATTCCCACAGAGACCATACACAGATGTACCAAGTATACTATCATTGGCTAGCCCACCTGGGGCAGAATGTTCTATCTCTTCTGCCCCAGACCATTTCCATAGAAATCATAAACAGATACCAGGAAAGGGTTTGAACAATGAAGGGGATTTCCAGAGTCAGGTGAAGGGCAGCTTTTTCTCAGAGGATAGGGAGGGGGGTCTGAGGGGCATTCTCTTTCAAGCCGTCTTTCCAGCTCTAAGTAAAAATTTTGAAGGGTTGAGGGTCAAGTTCAGTGGTAGAGCCTGGTCTAGCATGCCAAGGTTCTGGAGTTTAATCCCCAGCACCAGGAAGAAAAGGGGTGGCACACACTTGTAGCCACATCAGTTTGGGAAGTTAAAGGAGGATAACCAAGAATTTGAGACAAGCTTGAGCTACATAGATGTACCAACAGGCCAGCTTGGTGTAAAAAAGACGCTCTCTGCGGCCATGCCACTCTGAATGTGCCCAATCTCGTCAAAAGAAATTTGTTTTTGTCTTTTTCTATAAATCTTTGTCCTTATGCAAAATTAACTTTTAGTAGTTGCTTGATCCAGAAGTTTGTTTTGCACAAACAGGAACAGTATATGCAAAAATGAATGTAAATATACATTTTTCTGAGGGAAATATTTGAAAGCCTGCCCAGGGGTTAGTGTGAGACCAGAGTACAGGCTTTGAGATAGATTTTCTGTACTTTTCAAGATAGAAAAATTAGTACTCACTGATAGATCGCTAGGTACCTGTTACATTCTAACTATGCTACCTTTATCTTGCTATTTAACCTCACAACTCTAAGAAGTAAGATATCTGTGCCCCATCATAGATGGAGAAAGTAAATGACTTACCCAAGACTACACAATTTTTGTTAGGTACTTATTCTTTTTTTTGAGACCAGAACTCATGTAGCCCACTACGGAGCCAAGGCTGGCCTTGAACTAAGATTATAGGCTTCTACCACCACACTCACCGATCACCTGACTTTTAAAGGGTGGTACCTAGATATCCTTGTTGGCATCATGAGTCCAGTACCTTCACTCATACCTCCAGCTGATAAATCAGTACTTGTTCCAAGCCTGTTTGTGGGCCAGGGAGGTGGCTCAGAGGGTAAGGGCACTTGCCAGTGTGGAGCCTGATGACCTGAGTTCAAATTCTAGAGCCCACATGGTGGAAGGAGAGAACCAACTACCACAAGTTGTCCTCTCTCTGTCTCACACAGACACAGACACCATGTTGCTCACACACAAAGACACAAATAAATGTAAAAAAAATCTTGACAAACCCTGTTGGTATAGTCGTCCACTTGTGTTTACAGGAAATTGGTTCCATGATCCTCTATTCCACCAGAATACCAAAACCCCCAAAATATTAAGTCCTTTATTTAAAATGGCATATTTGTCAGGTATGGTGGCTTTAATTCCAGAAGTAGAGTCAGGCGGATCTCTGAGAGATTAAAGCCAGCCTGGTCTACATACTGAGTTCTAGATCAGGGGCTATAGGGAGACCCTGTCTCAAAAAGACCCCCTCCAAAAACCTGTGAAGCCACAGGGCTCTACTGAAAAAATTCAGAAGTGTTGGGCTGGAGGGCTGGCTCAGTGGTCAAGAGCACTGGCTATTCTTGCAGAGGACCCAGGTTTGATTCCCAGAACCCACATGGCGGCTAACAACTGCCTATAACTTCAGTTCCAGGGGAAATCTGATGCCCTCTTCTGACCTCTGTGGGCATTGCCTGACATGGGTGCACTTCCATACGTGCAGGCAATACACTCACACACAAAAATAAAAATAATAATTAAAAAAAATTCAGAAGTGTTGAGACACTTTGTTGGGTTCTGTTTAGTTTCTTTTTTTTTTTTTAAAAAAAGATTTATTTCTTAGTTTTTAATTATGTGTACTTGGGCAGGTGAGATGGCTTATAGGGTAAAGTTGTTTGCCAAGCCTGATGATCTGAATTGGCGCCCTGGGACTCACATGGTGGAAGGTGAGAATGGACTCCTGCTAATTGTCCTTTGACCACACATGTGCTGTGGTACTCGTGGGTGCACACACGCACAAATAAATGTAATAAATGAAAATCTATGTGCTCACTTGTGCCGGGGGCAATATGTGCACATGAGTGCATGTGTCTGCAGAGACCATTAAGAGGGCAGTAGACTCCCTGGAGCTGGAGTTACAAAGCAGTTGTGAACTGCCCAACATGGGTGTTGTGAACCACACTCAGGTCCTCTGTGAGAACAGAACACACTCTTGACCTCTGAACCATCTCTCCAGCGTCTGTTTAGTTTCTCACAAATAGTAAGAAATCTGTTTCAGGTTCTTCACTGCTGAGCCCTGGTGGTGAGGTCTCCTCGTCCAGGGCCATGTATTGAATATCACAGTAGAATATTGTCATAGGTTGTAGGTAAGGGATCCTTTCTCCACTAATAAATGGCCTTTGCTTTTCCTCCCCCACTCATCTTGTTTCCCTAGCTCACCATGGCCCAGCTGTACCCTAAACTGACAGCTTTTCAGCTTCTGATTTTGTTATCAAGAATACAAGTTTATAGCCTGGGCTACATAGCAAGTGCCAGGCCAGCCAGGGCTTCATAACAAGACCCTACCTCACCCATCTCCCCGCATATATATTTATGCTTTATATATATAGATGTATATATGAATTTATGTCATGAATGGTGGCGTGTAAGCTAAGCACTGAGACTATGAGGCAGGAGAATGGCAAGTTCAAGGCCAGCAGGGGTTTATAGCGAGACACTTTCTCAAGAAAAAAATTTACACACACACACACACACACGGGTGGGCTTGTGTATGTTACATTTTCTCTTCAAATAACTTTATGAACTTATTTTATGTTTTGCTTGCATGCACGTGAGTGCACCTGGTGTGCGCAGTGTCGGTGGAGGCCAGAAAAGAGTGTAGTCCTTGGACCTGGAGTTATGGATGTTGCGAGCCTCCACCATATGGGCGCTGGGATTTGAACCCCGGTCCTCTGGAAGAACAGCAAGAACTCTTAACTTCTGAGCCACCTCTCCAGCCCCAACTTTATAAACATTTATGAACTCATGTGTAAGCTGTGTCTTCAGCCGCTATTTCTCCTTTTAGTTGCCCAGTTTGACAGGTTAGTTTTGGCTTCCCAAGCCTGAAACAAATGACGATTTGGCCCTGAAACGCACTTCTCTGCAGCTGAGACCCGGCTGGGGAGGAGAGGTTTGACCAGCGCGGCTGAGGCGCCATGTCAGAGTCCTGCCGCCAGGTGGCGATGTAGGGAGAGGGCGCAAGCGGCGGCGCGCAGCCTCTCTTGACAGACACCCCGAACGGAAAAGGAAGCGGCCACGTGAGCTCGCTACGGTGGCCGAGGAGTGCTAAAAAAGCGTTTCCTGAGCCCAGAAGCGCGGTGCAGCGAGCCAGGTTTCTGTGGTCGCAGCCCCGAGGAGGGCGCCCGGGCAGGGGGCACCATGGTGAAGGAGCAGTTTCGCGAGACGGATGTGGCCAAGAAAATGTAAGACGCAGGCCGAGCGGCCGGAGGGCGGAAGCTGGGGGTCCGGGGCTCCGAGGGTCCCAGGTGAGGGACCTTCGGAAGGAGAGGCCGAGAGGTGTGACCAGCCTAGCACCGAGCTGGGGTTTCAGCCCCCAGGGTCTCTGGACTTGTGCGGAATGGGCCGAGCCGGCTCACAAGGCTTCTCAGCCGGGATATCGAAGCTGCTATTCTGGGCCTTCCGTAAGAGTTGGCAGTGAGAAAACGAGCCCATCACTTTTGCAGCATACCCAGCAGAGTGCTGTGAGCTAGGGCAGTGTTGGGTGCTAACGGTTCCGTGGGAGTATGGTCTTTGCTGCATAGTGAGGTTGAGAGTAGACGGACCAGCGGTGGTTGTACAACGCAAGTAGGCACAGGGCTCTGAGAGCTTCTGAAATGAACAGGCCAGCCAGGCAGACCAAGCTGCCTTTTTCAAGGGGTGTACTGTAAAGACAGAGGGTGATGGAAACTTACACTACTAGTGCGTCATCTTGCAAGCAATGAGGATCCTCTGAAAGGTTTAACCAAGGCAGTGTTGGGGTAAGATTTTTTCCCTCTGGAAGATCTTTTGTCTCTGTCTGTCTGTCTGTCTGTCTGTCTGTCTGTCTGATTTTGGTCCTTTTGAGACAGGGTCTCCCTGTAGCCCCTAGCTGGCCTGGACTTGCTATGTAGACCAGGCTGGCCTCGACCTCACAGAGGTCTGACAGCCTCTGCTTCCCGAGTGCTGAGATTAAAGGTGTATGCCACCATGCCCAACCTCTGGAAGATCTTTTGATTCCCCAGGAAGGAGTTAAAGTCAGGAGACTTTGGTAAACACAGCAGGGATCCAGACTGGGAATGGTGATGTCCTGGGGAAGGATATGGGGGTTGCAGTGGAGAGAAGTGGACTCCAGAGCAGCTTAAGGTATAAAATGAGTGAAGCAGAGGCGAAGATAAGGGAGAAATGGAAGTTTCGTATAAAACTTCTGGGGGCAGATGTGTGGATAGCTGCTATTTGCTGGACCTAATGTCTTACCTGGATGACCTCCAAGCCAGTCTCATTGTCCATCCATTCCAGTCCTTCATATCTACCCTATTCAGTTAGAATGCTTTCTCACAAAGCAACCCAGGGATACTGGTATGATGCAAATTAGGCCAAGTGTAGTGGCACAGGCTAGTAATCCCAGCCCTCAGAGGCCAAGCTAGGAGGATGAGGTTGAGGCTAGCCTGGGATATACAGCAAGACCCTGCATTAAACAACACCAAAGTGAGCTAGAGCTGTCACTTAAAATCCTCTAGCAGCTCTCCATTACATGGACACTTAATTCACCCCTGGTTCCCAAACTCTTTGTGACCTGGCCCCTTGCATGCTTTACCAGCCTCATCTTGTACACTTAGCTGTCTGTGCCCCCACTGTGTTGGTTGCATATGGTTCCTTGATGACACACCAGGTGTCTCCTGGTGGCCTTGTACAAGGGCTCCCTCATACTTGGAATTCAGCTGACATGTCATAGTTTCACAGAGAGGCTTTCTGACCAGACCATGTTATCTTCTCAGACTCTACCATTTCAGGTCATTTTACTTCTTCTTATCTCTTATTAACAGTCATTGCTCCATGGGAGATTGGTTCAGACTCTACCATTTCAGGTCATTTTACTTCTTCTTATCTCTTATTAACAATCATTGCTCCATGGGAGATTGGTTACACACACACACACACGCACACACACACACATACACACACACACACACCTACTACTGTGAGAATGTTCAGGTCCTTTCTATAAAGTAGCATAGATCTGTTTGTCATCTCCTTGCCCATGTAAATTGTTGTACTGTAGTTTTAAAAAAACAATGACAAGAGCAAAAAAAACAAAAAGGTCTGTACATGTTCAGTACAGATACAACTTTTTAGATACATTGAGTTGGCGTGCCTGTGAGATGCCACTTGAAAGTATCTGGAGCAGGTGTTGGCACAGTTACCCAGTTTGGACTAACCTATAGAGATTGGGCAGATATCACTCTATACACAAAGGACACATTCAGGAGGAATGTGTAGAAGGAAAAGAGGGAGGAGGATTGTAACCCAGGATAAGGTGGGGGCACCAGTATTTAAAGACTGGTAGTGGAAGAAGGGACTTCAAAAGACACTAAAGGAATAAAATACTTAATAAAAGACACTAAAGAAGGAATAGCCAGAGAGGGGAGGGTGTAGAGTGTCCACAGAACAGAGTGCACAGAGAAGAAAGGACTTCCAGATTGGGTAGTGGGAGGTGTGGCCTACCAGTGCCTGCAAAGCAGTGAATTTAGAAAGTTACCAGATTCATCTGCAGGCAGATCACCTCAGTTACCTTGGTAAGCACCATTCATTTCATGGGGAAAAAAGAAACTGGCCTCCCATAGTATAAAGGGATATGTTCTTGTTCTCTCTGCCTCCATGTATGTGTCTGTATATGAGTGAGGTTTTGCCTCCATGTATGTGCATGTGCCCATGCATGCAATGCCCACACAGGCCAGAAGAGGGTGACAGATCTGGAACTGGAGTTACAGATTTGTTAATGACCATGTGGATGCTGAGAACCAAACCTGGGTCCTCTGAAGAGCAGCCAGTGCTCTTAACCATAAGTCACCTGTCCAGCTGCTAAAAGGATGATTTGAAGGGAAATCTGAGAAATATAAATGTGTTTTGGTCTAGTGGTGAAGAGCCCTGCCAGAGAGTTGAAAGGGCACGTTGGATGTGGTGCATTGTATGTGAGTGCCTAGACCCATATAGGCTTTGATACAGTTTTTCTGTTTGGTTCCATTGCAGAAGCCACATCTGCTTTGGAATGAAGTCCCCTGAGGAGATGCGCCAGCAGGCTCACATCCAGGTTGTGAGTAAGAACCTGTACAGCCAGGACAACAACCATGCCCCCTTGCTGTATGGAGTGCTTGACCACAGAATGGTAAGGCCCTGCCCACCCAGTATCTGAAACTTGACACACTTGGAAATCGGGTGGTGGGTTTCTTCCCTCCTCCTCCAGTCCCCCTGCATGTTTGAGGCCAAATCAGGAGCTCATGTGACTGATACAAATGCACTGTAGCTTCCCAGCTAGTTGTGAGTCACCTGGCCAGGTGTGAGGACTGGGCCCGTTTTGCCCAGTGGTCTCTGCTAATGTTTGGGTGTACTTTCCTCCAAAGGGTACAAGTGAAAAGGACCGTCCTTGTGAGACCTGTGGGAAAAATTTGGCTGACTGTCTAGGCCACTATGGGTACATTGACCTGGAATTGCCGTGCTTTCATGTGGGGTACTTCAGAGCTGTCATCGGCATCTTACAGGTGAGCACATAGCCTTGGTTTCCAAGACATAAATTTAGCAGTACTAGGTCAGGGACATTGGAGTGAACCTAGGAATGGTGAGTGATGGGTATACATCCAGGGGAAGTGGGTATGCCAAATACATCTTCATCTTGCATTATAGTAATTCCCCTACAGATACCGTATTCATTTCCCTTGAGAAAGTGATTGCTGGGCTGGTGAGATGGCTCGGCAGGTGAAGGTGCTTGATGCTAAGCCTGACTACTGAGTTTGATCCCCAGGTCCCACATGGTAGAAAGAGAAAACTCACTCCCACAAGTTCTCTGACCTCCATATATGAGCCATGGCATCTGTATACACCATACACAATGGTAAAAAAAAAAAGAAAGAAAAAAATGATAGCTATTCATTGTTAAAAAAATGTAGTACTAATGTTAATCTAGGCTTGGCAACATATACTGTAATCTTAGTACTGAAGAGGAGAATCATGAGTTCAAGGCTGGCCTAGCCTACATCATGACACCTTATCTTAAAGTTTTTTTTTTATTATTTTTATTATTTTATGTGTATCAGTGTTTTGTCCTCATGTATGTTAGTGCACCATGTGCATGTAGTACCCATAGAGGCCAGAAGAGGGTTGTGGGATCCCCTGGAACTGGAGCTATGGGCAGGTGTTAGCTGCCATGTGAGTGCTTGGAACTGAACCTGAGTCCTCTACAAGAGCAGCCAGTGTTTTTAACCACTGAGCCAGCTTTCTAATCCCCCCATTTTTTTTTTTAAATTTAGATTTCCAGTTATTCTAGTATTGATAACACATCTATATACACTAGAGAGGCAGAGGCAGGAGGATTGTAAATTCAAGGCTAGCCTGGGCCACTTCGTGAGTGCAAGATCAGCCTGAACTATATATAGCATGATTCTGTCCCAAAACAGGGCTTGTGGTGCACACCTTTAGTCCCAGCACTTGGAGGGAGAGACATGCAGATCTCTGTGAGTTCAAGGCCAGCCTGGTCTCTATGGTGTATCCAGACCAGCTGGGGCTACGGGGAGACCCTGTCTCAAAAAGACCAAAAAACAAAACAAAACAACAACAACATAAAACACCAAGGGCTGTGGATGTAGTTCATTGGTTAGACACTTGCCTAACATGCAAAAGACCCTAGGTTTGATCCTCAGCACTGAATAAAAATAATAATCCAGGCAATCCAGAAAGCACAAAGAAAATGAGAATAGTTAACAAAAAAGTACTGCTACCATTCTAGGAACACAGGCTGCCTCTATGTGCAAATCTTTACTGATGGTCACTCAGTTCCATGCACTCAGCAAAGAGGTAGTTTTAAAAATTATTGTTATTACATTTATTTACTTTCTTTGTATATACGTATGTGTGGGGTCCACAGGAGAAGGTCAGGGAACAACTGCAGGAATCAGTTGTCCTTCCACCATGTAGGTCCCAGGGATTGAATTCAAGTCGGCAGGCTTGGCAGAAAAAGCACCTTTACCAGATGAGCCATTTCGTTGGCCCCAGAGGTGGCGTTTTTAAAGGGGGAGAGTTTTTGTGTTTTTGTTGGTTTTTTTTTTTTTTGTCTTTTTGAGGCAAGGTCTCCCTGTAGCCCCACTGTCCTGGAACTCACAGAGATCCACCTGCCTCTGCCTCCTGAGTACTGGGATTAAAGGTGAAGGTGTGCGCCACCACACCCAGCCTGGGGAAGAGCTTTTTTATCCTCACATCCTTGTCTCTGTTTTGCTTAATCTTTAACAGATGATCTGCAAAACCTGCTGCCACATCATGCTGTCCCAAGAGGAGAAGCAGCAGTTTCTGGATTACCTGAAGAGGCCTGGCCTGACCTACCTGCAGAAGCGAGGCCTGAAGAAGAAAATCTCTGACAAGTGCCGGAAGAAAAGCATTTGCCACTGCTGTGGGGCCTTTAACGGTGAGTGGAATGCCCAAGAGGCTCAGCGGTGGCCCTGTTCACTCTCTTGTTGAGTTTTAGAATCAGCATTCTCTTGTGAATCAGGCTGCAGAGCCCAGCAGCTGTATTTATTACTAGGGAATGCACCTCTCCTGTCATTGCTATTCACTTTCATTAACTAGACCTTACCCTTTGGTCAGAGTAACTGAGAACCTACTTTTTCTATCTTTGGTTAATGAATGAACTCTTATAGGTACTGTAAAGAAATGTGGCTTACTGAAGATAATCCATGAAAAATACAAGACCAACAAAAAAGTAGTGGATCCCATTGTATCGAATTTCCTTCAGTCCTTTGAAACAGCCATTGAGCATAACAAGGAAGTTGAACCTCTGCTGGGAAGGGCACAGGTGAGCCTGAAAATGCACACCCACCCTCTGCCCACTCTCCTCCACATCATGGGGGAGTGAGGGTTGCACATGCACATTCCCTTACTCCTCCACTTCCCCCATTCCCGTGTACTCACCTTCTTCCAGAGGAAGTGGGGAGTCCAGTTATGTTAGTCAATTCCCCTGCAACTCTTGACTGGGCTGGGACAGGTGCTTATTTTGCACTGAGTTATTTGGATTAGCTTTGTAACTCCAACTGTTGGTGGTTTCTCCCTTTAGTGGTTTTCTTTTGTGAAGGAGAGTTGGGGTGGGGGAGATTGGCAGGAGACAGGATCTTATTGTGTGTGTGTGGACAGGTCATGATTTCTTTGATCTAGCCAGTAACCCATCAAAGGTGTTTCCACCTCTGCACTACTAAGATCAACCTTTTTAGCCAGGTGTGGTGGTGTATCTATAATCCCAGTACTCGAAGGGCAGAGACAAGAGGATTGCTGCAAGTACCAGGCCAGCCCAATCTATAGAGTGAGTTCTGGGTTAGTCAAGGCTATACAGCAAGACCCTGTCTCAAATAAAAACGCAGTTTGTGGTTTTTGAGACAGGATATCACTGTGTAATTCATATTGACCTTGAATTTACCTGCAGTGATCCTCCTGCCCATCCTTTCCTAGTGTTAGGATTTAAGGGGTATGCTACCACACTGGGCCTAAGAACAGTTTTTGTGAGCATCCTATAGCTGAATCTGGCCTCCACCCCTCACCCCACTTGAAGGGCTTCATATATCCCCGACTGACCTTGAACTCACTGTGAATTTGTAATCCTCCTGCCTCCACCTCTTCACTACTGGGATTACAGGTATGCACCCCCATACCTGTTTATGCCTGCTGGAGATGAAACAGAATCTCACAGCGGAACTACATCTTGATTCCCCTGTAGCCAAATCTTTGTTTTCATTTGTGAAATTATACCCATTGGATTAATTATGGAAGGTAGAATTGTTGGCTTATAATTGAAATAAATGGCCTGCACATTTTAGACTTTTATAGTAAAAAACATGCTTTACTGCATGTTCATCATCAGAAATTTCTGGCATCCCTAATGCCTTAAGTGTGGGGATAGAGCCAGGCATGGTGGCTCATGCCTGAAACCTTAGGACTTTGGAAGTAGAATGAGGAGGATCAAGAGTTCAAGGCTAGTTTCTGCCACATAACAAGTTTGAAGCCAGCCTAGACTACATGGGAACCTTATCCAACCTGTAGGAAACTAATCTGTCCCCATTCCTTCCTTCCTCCCACAGGAAAACTTGAATCCCTTAGTAGTTCTGAATTTGTTTAAACGCATCCCTGCTGAAGATGTCCCTTTACTTCTGATGAACCCAGAATCTGGGAAGCCCTCAGATTTGATTCTCACTCGACTTTTGGTGCCTCCCTTGTGTATCAGACCCTCCGTTGTGAGTGATTTGAAGTCAGGCACCAATGAAGATGATCTGACCATGAAATTGACAGAGATCATTTTCCTAAATGATGTTATTAAAAAGGTCAGTCATCTCCAGTAACCTGAGCATTGTGTACTATATGCGTCTAGAGATGTCTGGGCAGGAAAATGCAAGGAAATTCAAAGTGAACAGGTTTGTTCCTGATTATTTTGTGTGCTTGTAGCATCGGATCTCAGGAGCGAAGACACAGATGATCATGGAGGACTGGGATTTCCTGCAGCTGCAGTGCGCCCTCTACATCAACAGCGAGCTCTCTGGCATCCCCCTCAACATGGCGCCCAAGAAGTGGACCCGGGGCTTTGTCCAGCGCTTAAAGGGGAAGCAGGGTAGGTTCTTACAGGACCTGCCTTTGTAACCCCTTGAGGGAGTGTGTGTCGGCTTACATAGTTGAAGTATAGATCCTCCTAAATCTCACTGTTCATGTATCTCCCAAATAGCACTGATTGTGTCATGAGAACTATGTTGTATTTGATTTATTTAGGTCGATTTAGAGGGAATCTGTCAGGAAAGAGAGTGGATTTTTCTGGCCGGACAGTCATCTCACCTGACCCGAACCTCCGGATTGATGAGGTAGCTGTGCCAGTTCATGTGGCCAAAATTCTAACTTTTCCTGAGAAGGTAAGTACCATTTAACTGCCCGGTTCTTTGTATGAAATCCAGACTTTTACATTTTGACATTTCATTCTATAGATAAAGTCCCTAGAAACCTATACAACCCACAATTGCTTTATGACTATTTTTTTCCAGTTTGTTACATACATGACCTCATATAACATATGCCATGTATACAGCCAAAGTTGTTTCTGGTGGTTTTTGTTGTTGTTGGGTTGTTTTTTGCAGTTCTAGAGATCCAGCCTTGGGCCTCCTCTGTAGGCGAGTGAGTACTCTTACCACTGAGCTACACCCCCTCACACCAAGAACAGAATCTTACCAAATTTAAGGAAAAAATACATTACTTTAAAATAACTATATTCAGTAATAGTTTTTTAAAAATATTTATTTTCATTCTATGTGTATGAGTGTTTTGCCTGCATGTACGTAAGTGGACCATATGTGTGCAGGCCCATAGAGGCCAGAAATGGGTGTTGGATCCACTGAAATAGGTGTTAGCTCTCATGTGGGTGCTGGGAATGGAACCCATATCCTCTAGAAGAGTAGCCAGTGTCCTTAAGCCCTAAACCATCTCTCCAGCACCAGTGATTGTTTTTAAAACATTTTTAATGTGTATGAGTGTTTTGCCTGCATGTATGTATGTGTACCATGTGCATGCCTAGTCCAGTAGAAGCCAGAAGATGGTGTTGGATCACCTAGAACTGGAGTTAAGGACCTTTGTTCATGAGTGCCATGTGGCTGCTGGGAATCAAACCTGGGTCCTCTATAAGCAGTGTGTGGTCTCAGCCCACTGAGCTATCTCTCCAGCACCTCAATAATAGTTTTTTTTTTTTGGTCTTTTTGAGACAGGGTCTCCCTGTAGCCCCAGCTGGCCTGGATTCACTATGGAGACCAGGCTGACCTTGAACTCACAGACATCCACCTGCCTCTGCCTCCTGAGTGCTGGGATTAAAGGCGTGCGCCA